GAAATGTCAAGGCAAAAAGCATTAAATGAATCAAAAAAGGAATCGGGAATTAACACAATCCAATAAGATAATCATGAAATGTAATGCACTGAAGAAAAATTACAAATATGTAAAGGAAAAAAGGTTAGAAATAAGAAACTGTGATAAAACAACAGTGGAAGATTTTACATACTTTTACCAGAAAATTTAGATCAAGCAGATAAAAAGGGAAAATCTGAATAACAACAAGTTTGATTCAATATGTAGAAATATGATATAATATTACCCAAACAAAAAGAAAATACACAGTTGCTTCAATTGCCCATTTAATATTTATAAAATTTTATTACATTAGGACACAGAAAATTTTCCAAAATGTATAATTCATGCAGGAAGCATTCCCCATCCATGAGACAGTATAAGTAGTAAAAAGGAAAAAAAAGGATAGAAAAACAAAACATCAACCAAAACCTAACCATGTTGAAATATATAAATACATTTCTAAATAAGTCAGATTAAAAAGGAAAACAAAACTAACTACAAATGAGGTGACAAACGAAGGACTTTGATAACACTGCATGTGACAACTAAGGGATACAGCCAAACATATTCAGAGGACAATTTATAATTTAAATGCATTAAATAAAAAAAAGAAAAACTAAAAAATAAACTAAGCATTCACCTAAATAATGTTGACACCGATCAAACAGAAGCAAAGAACGTAGAAAGAAAGAATTAACAGAAGCAGAAAGTGATAATTAAAAAACCACTTGTTTTTTCTAATAGTTAACTAAAAATAAAATATACAAACCTATGGACAGTGCTGTTAAGGAAAAGAATAAAAAAGGGGTTTAGCTACATATAGGCAAATTAAGACACATTACAAACTATTATGTACAACTTTCAATCAATACATTTGAAAATCCAAATAAAATGGAAGAGTTTTACAGACAAATTGACAAAATTTCCACCCAAGTAGAGTTGGAAATCTCAGATAGACTAATCATCAAAGAAACTGAAAGAGGGTTTACATTTCTACCCTCCCCTTCCCCAAACAAGCATCAGGACAAAATGGTTTTATGGGTGAGTGTTGCAGCTGTTCAAGGGAACAGCTTATGTCTGAGTTACTCACACTGTAAAATAAGAAAAAAAAAATCAAGTTCATTCCCAAGGGTAACACAATTGTGATATTAAATCAGGAAAGGACATCACACAAAGGAAAACAATAAACGAGAGTTTTCCAATAAGTGTGCCTTGGCACATTGGTGTCTTATGGATGGGCTGTATGTGTAATGTGATATTTATTCCTAAGGCTTTGGGGGCAGCCAGGCAGAGCCTGGGAAGCCAGTTGCCTCTGCCCTGAGCAATCTTGTCCATTTACCCCATGTGAAAAACGTAAGGAGGCACTGCTCTAGACACTTGTTAATATAAAGTTTTACATCCTAAATGAAATATCTACATAGCCAAACACCACTACCAAGTCAGTTTTATTCCAAGAATGCAAGAATAGCTCAACATTAGGAAATCTATTAGTGTAATTAACTACATTAATGGATTAATGAGAATAACCATATTATCATCTTGGCAGATGCCAGAAAAGGTATCTGATAACATTCTGTATCTGTTCCTTACAAAACTATAAGTTAATCAGGAATCAGGAATAGAAGGGCATTTCTATAACTTGAAAAAGGGTATCTATCAGAAACAATGGTGATCATCATATTTTAGAGAGAAACAATGAGGAATTTCTATTAAAGTCAAAATCAAGAGAAGGACACTTGCTCTTTTTTAATCTGTAAGTCTGCATTGTTCTGGAAGTCATAAGATCTTTACCAATGTGCTAAAAGAAAAAAAATTAGATACACACACTAAGAAGGAGAAAACAAACATTTCATTATTTACAACTGACATGATTGTGTACCTAGGAATTCAAGATAATTAACTGGAAAAAAACCCAGCGCTAAGAATGGAGTTTAACATGATGCTTGGATAGAAGATAAATGCAAAACTCTATATTGTAAAGATGTCAATTCTTGACACATTACTCAAAAGGTATGAGGCACTTCCAGGCATTTTTTTTTTAAAGAAGTTGACAAGTTCCTCTTTTTGAGGAAGACTGGTCCTGAGCTAATATCCACTGCCAATCCTCCTTTTTTTTTTTTTTTTTTTTTTTGCTGAGGAAGACTGGCCCTGAGTGAACATCTGTGCCTAAAATTCATCTAGAAAAAGAAAATATACAAGAATAGTCAAGTAAAGTCTGAAAAAAAGAATAATGAAGGGTGGGCAGCCCCATCAGATTTTAAAACATATTATAATACTACAGTGATTAAAGCAGTAAGGTACTAACTCAGTAACAGACCAAAATTGAACAGAAAAGAAACGTAAGCATATCCACATAGTTGAGGTTAAAAAGAGAATTCCAAATCAGTACAGATATAATTCAACACAAGAAAAACAAGCTACCTCTTCTGCAAAACTAAACGGAGGTCCCTACTTTCCACCATACACACATACATAAAATCAATCCCATATGGATTAAAGCACTAAGCAATAATAATACATAAAATATTAGAAGAAAATATAGAAGAATATTTTTTATAATCTTGGGATACTGAAGCCTACATAGGACTGAGACAAAACCAAAAAACTATAAAAGCAAGATGAAAATCTTTGCCTATTTACATAATCAAATCTTTATGTCACATACCACCATAAATAAACTTTAAAAAGACAAATGGCAGATACGTTCAATATATAGCAGACAAAAAACATATCAGCTCTAATATCCAGAAACCTCCTATAAGGAAATCAAATCAACAAGGAAAAAAGATAAGTGACTCAACAAAAACATAGGCAAAGGATATGAACAAGCAGTTTCCAACAGAAGAAATACAAATAGCTAATAAATATATTAAAAGGTGCTTAACTTTATTAATGATTAGGGAAAAATAACTTAAAGGAATGAGATTGGATTTTTCATCCAAAATGTTGACCAAAATTAAAAAGAATGATAGTGTCTGCCCTGCTGGGAGGACAATTTAGCTCAAGCCTTTTGATCTAGCAGTTATACTTCTAAGATACTAGCCTATAAAAATACTTCTAAACCTGCAAAAAATAGATGTAAAAGAATGCTTTTTATAGCATTTTCTGTAATAGTAAAACACTGTGAACAACCAAAGATCTATTACATAGAAAGAGTTGAATAAATTATATAGTACACCCTACTATGGAATTCTACTAGCTGTTACAACAATGACTTTCTATTGAGGATGGGTGGGGGACCAAGTTCTACAATATGTATAGGATGATTTCCTTTTGTAAAACACACAAGAATGCATGCACCTAAATGGGAAAAGTACTTGGAAGATACAAAGCAAACAAATAATCATGGCTGTCTCTGGGCAGTGTGACTGGGAGAAGAATATTTTCATTTGTTACTTTATATATACTACTGCAGGGGTTTTTTTTTGGTTTTGGTTTTTTCGCTGAGGAAGATTGGCCCTGAGCTAACATCTGTTGCCAGTCTGCTTCTTTTTGCTGGAGGAAGGATTCTCGCTGAGCTAACATCTATGCCAATCTTCATCTATTTTTTGTGTGTGGGATGCTGCCACAGCATGGCTCGATGAGAAGTGTGTAGGTCTGTGCCCAGGATCCAAACCTGTGAATCCCAGGCCACTGAAGCAGAGTATGTGAACTTAACCACTACGTCACCAGGCCAGCTCTGCACTTCTTGCTTTTATTATAAGCATGTATTACTTTTTTAACAGAAAAAACTAACATAAGCTTACTTTATGACATTTGGGTGAAAAAAATATAAGAAAACACAAGAAAAGCAATATGAAATCTCACTACACAGAGGCAATTATTATTAACATATCAACCCTTCTTTTTAGTCCCTGTTATGCATTTTTAATATATTTGAGATCTTACTTGAAGTAAGAAGGCTTGTTTTGGGCCCATTTTTCAATCAATATGATGTTGTATTTTCCCTATAGAAAATTTAGAGAATAAAGAGCCACAAGAGAATAAAAAGTACATATATTCCCACCACCCAGACATTGCTGCTTAAAAGAATATGAAATTTGAGTACACAGAATTGGATTATAAGTAACCCATGCACACTGTCATAGACCATGCACACTGTCTCATTGGTCCATACATGACCCTTTGCAATTTTTATCCACTACTGTCTTCTTTTATTTAATTTTCATAATAATAACACAAATAGTCAATGATATGCTCTTAATTACATAATTAATACCCACTCACCCACCCACCCACTCAACCTGAGCACCAGAATACTGACAATAACTTCAGCCCACTTCTATGATTCTCTTTGATTCCAACCCCCTTTCTTCAGCTCCTATGACCGTTTTCCTGAAGTTTTGATTGATATTTATTTGTTTTTTAATAAAATATTTTCAATCCCAAATATATTTGTATGCCTAAATAATATAATGTTTAGTTTTACTTGTTTTTGAATAATATAAAAAGAATATTCTACCACATGTAGTCTTCTGGGGCTTATCTTAATTTGACATAATAGAAGTAAAATCTACCCATGTTATTATGTTTAGCTGTAGTGCCTTCATTTCATTGCTGTATAACATTCTATTGTGTAAATATGCCACAATTTATCCATTTTCATTTTGGGAGTTTTACTACTAATATTTTAGTATATATTCTTATAGCTATTTTTCTGAGGACAATTACATAGTTTCCTTTCTACAAAATTTGAATATTATATGTACTTTCATGTGACATGTTCTTCTCACTAATGAAATCTTGTGAACATATGTCCATTTCATAAAATATTCTTCTGTGGTGTAAACTTAAATAGCTGCATAGTATTCCACCATAAACTTACAATATAATTTTACTAAACTACCCCAGTTGTTGGACATCTGGATTGCTTAGATTTTTTGGTGCGATAAGCATTATGGTGTACATATGCTTTGGCTCAGCAACTCTCCTTTTAAGAATTTATCCTAAGTAGTATTTCAACAAATTTGCACACCATCATGTACAGGGCCACCGCAAAGGACGATGCAGTTTGTGTTTTGCACAACTTGCGTAATGTATGTGCTCATCATAGCAGTTTTTATAACAGAAAAAAAAATTGGAAAGAGCTCAATGCCTACCAGTAGGAGATAAAGTAAATATGTAATGTATTAAAATTATACTATAGATGCACTGTCAATGACATGGGATGATACTTACAATTTATTGTTAAGTGGAAAAGATAGGTTAAATGGCAGTATGATTCCATTTTGTAAAAGAAAATAAGCATACCTATGAAGAGTATGGAAGAACATACACCAAAAACATTACAGCATTATCTGAGTATTGAGTTTATTTGAGATTTTAATTTTTTCACTTTGCATACTTATATTTTGAAGTATTTCAACAGTAAACTTGATTACATGTAAAATAAAAAGATAAATAAATAATGAATTTTTATGCACAATTGTTTAAATATTTTTCCTGAATATAAAATACTCTCACACTGTAAGAACTTTGGAAAAGAACATAAAGAAGTAAACAAAAATCACATATGATCTTACCCACCTAAAGGTAAGTAGTTCACAATCTCCAATGTATTTATTTCTAGTCATTTGTCTCTGATTAAATATATTTAAAATAATTGCAAACACACTTTATATAATCTTGTATGCTGATCTTTCACTTAACATTATATAATATGAACACACGATAAATATTTTAATGGCAGAATATTCCATCACATGGAAATAGCACATTTACTTAATCATGCCCTTAGAGTTAAATCCTTGAGGTTTTTCTGTTTTTCACTATACCAAATAACTATGTGAAGAACATCTTTGTGCATGAACTATCCACATTTTAGATAATTTCCTTGAGTAGATTCATTGAAGTGAAACACTGTCAGAGTACCAACATTTTTATAACCCTTGATATATATTGTGAAAACTGTACTTACTATATATTTATATTTTAAGGCAGCATAGAGTAGAAGAAAAAAATGAAGTCAAAATATGTGGATCCCATGACTATCTTTAGTACTTTCTGTTTAACCTCTGATTAGGTAAAATTGATATAAAAACATACGTCTTATCTAAGTCACAAGGTTATTGTACTAATCAAATGAGAAAATAGATCCTTCAGTCACCATAAATGTTACTTCCTCAGGAATTCTTTCCTTAACTTTCCAGATTCTCATAGCATCCTATACTTACTTTTCCTTCATAGCCTTACAACAACTGATAAATAATTGTTCAATTATTTGTACATTGTCTGTTTCCCCCAGATTATTTTAATCTCCATTAAAATATACCTGGCGCACAGTTGGCACTCAATAAATATTTGTTGAATGAATGAATGAATGAAGTGACAGTACTTTGTAAACTAAATAATTTGACATTTGGAAGGTATTTCTATTATTATTATTAATTCATATTACCATGTAGATGATTCTAAATCTTCAGAGATTCCTTGCCTAACCATAATTTCATTATGTAGCTGTAATGCTTGTCATGCCAGCCAGAGGCACGGGTAGCAATGTTGCTGGAAGCACCTGATAGAAGCTGAGACTTGGAGAACCAAGTAGTTCTCTAGGTCAGCATGCTGGGAGTTAAGGAGTTGTAGTTACCATTAGTCGGACACAAGGCAGTGGTCAGGAATCCAGGAAGTCAGTGATATTTGAAGAAGCAGGTGGATCCTGGAGGTCAGAAACAAACTAATGGTAAGTGGTCTAGATAATAAGGTGCAAACTAGAGAACGGTCAGTGATAAAGAATTAAAGTAGATAGGAGAGTTAAATTCCAAGCACCAGTACTCAAAGCGTGGAGCTATGAATATGATTCTAAAGCAAAGGGTACTTGAATTCAGTGCTCCCCTTTATTATTTCTGCCCAAACTGAAAATGGTGTCAGGAAGTGTTTGTGCCTAGTTCCACGTACATGAGCAAGGGAGTGATAGTAGCTAGTTGAAGAATAAGATCTGTGAATACAAATAGGTTCTGATAGTGACAGTATAAAGTGAGAACATTTGTACATAAGATCTCATAATAGTCTATTCATAAAATGGGAGCAATCAAGCTTTGGATCCCATAATTCTCATCTTGATCTTCAACAGCAGATGTTATAGCACAGTGGTTAGGACCATGGACTCTGGAAACAGGCTAGCTGGGTTCAAATCCCAGCTCAATCATTTATTTGTTGTGTCCTTTGGACAAGTGACTTCACCTCTGTGTGCCAGTTTCCTCATCTGTAAAACGGGGATGATAGTACCTACCTCAGTGGGTTGTTGTGAATATTAAATGAGTTGACGCATGTAAGGACCTTAGAACAGTGCCTGGACGTAGCAAATGCTATGTTAAGTGTCATTATTATTATTATTATTATTTAGTCACATAAGACCAAACAAAAATTGATGTTATAAAAAATGGAAAAATACACTGTATGTTTATGGATAATAAACTTTATCTAAAATAATAAAGTCTCTAAACAGAAATTTTTCTCATTAAAATAAGAATTTCACTTGCCCCTAAACATACTTGACTGTATGAAAACTATAAGTATTAGCAAAGTACCAAAATTTATCACAGCAATCCCATCTTTGTGTTTATTCTATACCAGATGTTTTATGAACGCTATCTCAAAAAGCTGTAAAGAATAACTACACATTTCCTAATAGCAAAAAAATACTATTAGGCTGCAGTACAGTTGATCCATAAGATGTGGTCTATAAGAAGGAATACTCTATTAAATTTTTTGAAGCTATTTCTACTAGAAGCAGGAATATTTGAGTTGGAAGACCTGTCTGTTTAAAGATCTGAACATGGATAGGCTCGGACCTGGGAAGACTAATTTTGAAAGAGTCTGGATCTGGGGAAAGGTCAGAAGACCTGGACTGTAGAACATATTAGAATACCTGGATATCGTAGACACTGGAAGATCTGAATGTTAGAAGACCGGTACACTGGAGACGTTGGAAGACGTGGGTATTGAGCCCGCTCTTGGAAGACTGGGTAGCTGTCGGAAGACATGGAGATGCTGGAAGACGCAGAGACGCTGGAAGACGTGGAGATGCTGGAAGACGAGCAGATGCTGGAAGCCCTGGAGATGCTGGAAGACCTGGAGGTGTAGGAAGACGTGGATTTTCTGGAAGACGTGGCTTAGCTAGAAGACGTGGATTTTCTGGAAGACGTGGCTTTGTTGGAAGACATGGATTTTCAGGAAGACGTAATTTTGTTGGAAGACCTGGGTAGGCTGGAAGACATGAATTTGATGGAAGACACAGCTTTGTTGGAAGACAAGGGTTTGCTGGAAGACATAGATTTCCTGGAAGACATGGATTTTCTGGAAGCCATGAATTTTCTGGAAGACATGAATTTTCTGGAAGACTTGGATAGGCTGGAAGACCTGGAGGTCGTTGGAAGACATGGATTTCCTGGAAGACATGGGTTTTCTGGAAGACGTGGATTTTCAGGAAGACCCAAATTGTCTGGAAGACCTGGGTTGTTTGGAAGACGTAGATTTGCTGGAAGACCTGGAGGTTACTGGAAGACATGGATTTTCTGGAAGACATATATTTGCTGGAAGACTTGGATTTAGTGGAAGACACGAATTTTCTGGAAGACGTGGCATTATCGGAAGACCTGGACTTAGTGGAAGACATAGATTTTCTCTGGAAGACGTGGATTGGCTGGAAGACTGGATTTGGTGGAAGATCTGGATTTGGTGGAAGACGTAGATGTTCCTGGAAGACACAGACTGAGTGGAAGACCTGGATTTCTTTCTGGAAGACATAAATTAGCTGGAAGACCTGGATTGACTGGAAGACTTGGATTTGGCGGAAGACAGATTTTTCTGGAAGACGTGGATTAGCCGGAAGACCTTGAAATTGTTGGAAGACGTGGATTGTCTGGAAGACCTTGAAACCATTGGAAGACATGGATTTTTCTGGAAGACATGGATTTTCCTGGAAGATATGGATTTTGTGGAAGACCCGTAATTGCTGGAAGACTGGATTTACTGGAAGCCATGGATTGTCTGGAAGACGTGAATTGTCTGGAAGACGTAGATCTTCTGGAAGACCTTGATGTTGTTGGAAGGCTTGAAATTAGTTGGAAGACTTGGAGTTTCTGGAAGACCTGGTGTTGTAGGAAGACCTTGACACTGGCACCAGTCGAAACCCTGGACATTGGAGACATTGGAAGCACAGGATGTTGGAGACATTGGAAGCCTTGAATTTTGATGACATTGGTTATTCTGGACATTGGAGACATTGGAGGCCCTGAATGTTAGAATTCATGGATATTGGAAGCCATAGATACTGGAAACACTGAACACTAAAGACATTGCAAGTCCTGTAACTTGGAATCCCTAAACATTGGAAGATATGGACAATAGAAGATCTAGGTATTTAGAAATCCTAAAATCAGATGCCTTGGATATTGGGAGACATTAGAAAACCTGGATATTGACATATTCATGTTAAAATGCATAGAATTTGGAAGATGTAATTTTCATGATGCTGAAAGTCAAGGCTGTTGGCAGCCCCGGACTTTAGACCTGGACACTAAGAGATCAGGACATTAAGAGACCTAGTCATTCAGACATTGGGGATGTTAGAACACCTGAATGTTGAAAGACCAGGTTCTTAAAGATATTGACTTGGACATTGGAGGAACTGGTGATAAGAAGACATTGTAAAATCAGGCTTTAGGAGACACTAAAAGTTGTAGGAACCGAATGATGTAAGTGCTAGAAGATATTGGAGCTAGACTTAGACATAATGAAACACATAGACTCTAGAAGACCTATATATAGGAGACATTGGAGGATTGGGAACATAGAATAATTAGAAGTTAGAACTCTGAACCCTGAAAGACAAGACCTACAACTTAAAAAATGATTATTGAAGATATTAGAAGAGCTAAACTTTTAATGACCCCAATATTGAGGAGATTAGAAAACACTGGCATTGGAGATGCTATAGGCCAGAGAGTGGAAGCCATGGATGTTGTAATATTTAGAAGATCTGGCAACTGGAGGTATTGGACGCTATGGAGCTCAGAATACCTGATGTTAGAGACAGTAAAGAACTGAAAAGCCTAATCTTGGAACTATTGGAAGGTTGTGTTGAAAGATATTGGCAATGTTGAAAGACTTTCATATTACGACATGATATGACATTAAAAGACATATCATAAGGCTACTCTACAGCGTCTCTTTCGCTAAGAAGCAAAACACAGGGAAAGGACATCTTAGGAAGATAACAAAGAGGAAGCAGGGAAATTCAAGTAAAAGCAAGAAGTTTGAATGGGTTGGAACTTATCTTCGTAGTCTTAATGAACTGGCCTTTGGGGTCTGTATTGGTTGACAGGATGGGAATGAGGAATTATCAAAGAATAAGCAATATAAAAAGCTAGGGGAACTACTTGGCTTTAGATCAGAGGTCAGCAAAGGTTTTCTGTAAAGAATCAGACAGTAAATATTTAAGATTTTGCCGGCCATACAGTTTCTGTGACAACTACTCAACTCTGCCATTGACAATACTGCCACAGACAATACGTAAATGAGTGGGCATGGCCGTGTTGCAATAAAACTTTATTTTTTAAAAAAATAGTTGGGCTAGATTTAGCCCAAGGGCCTTATATTGCCAGGCCCAGCTCTACATGCCAAATCTGGGGTATGGTAAACTTAAGTACATTCCAGGCTAGCATTCATATGCAAGAGAATGGATAGAACAATTTGAAGCCCAGTGGCAAATAAAGATATTATGTATGTGATGATACAGGAGTTGAGGATGATAAGAACCTAAGAATGGAGTTTATATCTCTACTTAATTGTTTCAGGGGCCCAAAGAAGAAGATCTGTATTCAGAGCAAAAATTAAGGGGACAGTATTCAGGGCCCCAGCCAAGGGGGCTAGAGTTCAGTGAGAATGCCCTAATTTAGTAGGCTGGAAGCTTAAGAATAAAATTAAAGAAGAAACTCACCCTTACAGACTGAGGTTTTCCTGCCAGGACTAAGCACCACTCAACCAAAGAGAGAGAGAATCCCCAGCCCAGGACAGACAAGAAGTCAATGGCAAAACCCTCACTCTAAGTCCCATGTTCTTATCATTATGGCAGTCATCATACCAGTGCTAACTAATCAAGAGCTAATTCTAGGTGTCTGCAATGATGGAGCAGAACAGGAAGGAAACTATCGTTTGGTGGGCTCATCTCAGGGACTCTGGCTTCAGGTAATAAGTCTAATTTCTGATCTTACCCACCAGAGCTTAAGTGACAAGCTTAAGAGATCAAGGTCGAGCTGTAAGCTGAAGGTCCTTAGTACTTAGTCACATAGGGCTGAGGAAGACAAGGACTATCACATACACTGCATGAAGGAGAACATGCAGACAAAGCTGATTGAGCTACACTGGGCCTGGGCCATGATTTAAAGGTTAAGTAGTGGAAAATATAGACAATGGGCAGTCACTAAAGAGTTTTGAATAAGGAACTACCAGAATCAGAATTGTGCACAAGGAATGTTAGTCAAGCAGCAAGGTCCTAAATACCAAAGACTACTAGATATATATACTAGAACACCAAAGACTCCAGGTGAAAACACTTAAGGGGTTGGGATGTGAGTTATGAGGCCACTACAATCATTCAGGTTAAGTGGTAGTAGGGGCTTGAATTAAGGAAGTGGCAGTTTGTTGCTCAGCAGACACAGCATTAGACTTATGATGAATACTCAGCATTCTGAATACCACTGCTTTAAACTTCTTGAATGCCATCACAGAATACATCAAATACAAAGAAGATCAGAAGCTAGCTATGAGGAACTGTCCTCACTTAGTAAGATTACTTAGACATCCAATACTCTCAAAGGCAGCTGAGCTGATAACTTGGTGGGTTAAGCAAAGTAGGTCCTATATAGCTTTATCTTTAGCTCCTATTAACACAGAGTGACTTAATTATCTTAAAAGTGGAACCACGTGGATGGATTATTTTCTAGAGAATAGGAATACATCCATGTGAAAAAAATCATTACATCTAATCATTATATAAATAAATATGCAAAGATAACCAGACTATAAATATAGCATATAGAATCACTGCAGGTCAAGGAGTAACATAGGGACATAGGAATTATTGTTTTAGGTATCTCTCACAAGCAAAGAAAAATATTAAAAAGCAATTTTATTCCTTCTCTCTTCTTAAAACCATCATGCATACCTTATTTCGAGGGAAATTAGGTAAAATATCAAAATATTAAAATTTTGCAAAGACAGGAGTAAACTATCATATTCTAGTTCTATAATGCTTATTCATGTTATAATAATAATAATAGCAACAATTTATTGAGCGCTTACTATGTGCCAGGCACTGTACTAAGCATTTCATATAATCTCATAGCAATCCTATAGTGCAGGTATTTTTGACCCCGTTTTACAGATCAGAAACCCAAGTCCAAAATGGCTAAAAACATGCCCACAGTCATATAGCTGGCAATTGGCAGGGACTGGATTGAAAACCGGTCCTCGTGCTGACTTCGCACACCCCAATAGCCCAAGGGTTATCCTGCCAGGACTAAGCACCACACACCCAAGGAGAGGCAGTCCCAAGCCCAGGGCAGATGAGAAACCAGTGACGAAGCCTTCATTCTAAGTCTCATCTTCTCATTATGGTACTCATCATACTACTGCCAATTAATCAAGAGCCAACTCTAGGTTTTTGCAATGATGGGTTAGCTATAGCTTCGGCTTTGTGTAGTAATGCAAGAGAGATGAAGTGCAGTATCTCAAGCATACTAGATTCATATTTAATTTCTCAATATTTGTTATCCATGTTAATGAAAGTACTATTTAGCCTTTCATTTATTTTCTATTTGATTTCATGGTTCCCAGGAACATATACACTCTGTTCATAGCACATCATATTTATTTCCGAATTCTTAGATAAACAACCATAACACACCACCATTAAAAGATAATACTATGTAAAGTTCAAAGATCAATGTATTTCACAGCACAAACATGGTTCACACACTCTTTTAGACTATACATGCTGTAGAAGCCCTTTATTAGCATTCAGGTGGTGGCAGCTATGTAATCCAAATGTGTAGTTTAAAAGAGCCTTCTCTGCATTTTGAACTTAAAAGGTTTTAAACAAATAAAAGGCTCTTTTTAAATGTAATGCCAGTTTTCTAATATTTTCTACAAATTTCAGCAACCTGGGCTGCCCTTTCTCCTCACCCTCTTTTTCTTTTTGCCAGTGATTAAATACATCTGTAAAGAAGGAAATTTCCATGCACTTCATAATAACGAACACAAGAATTTACCTGAACCATTTGACAACAGAAAGATTCTTTCCCCTCAAACTGCATAAAATATAGTAAATTTCAAGATTTTCAATTTTGGGGACTATTCTTAACTTAAAAAAGAAAAAAGAAACACCCATTTACATGGCAGTGTTGTCATTAACTTCTATTTCTACCACTTAGCCTATACCAACTTTCACGTCCTCCTATAAGTTCTGCTGACTTGTTAAACTCAACCATATTAAAATGTTCTATCTTTTACCTTCATCAATGATACTTCTTAGATTATTTTAACTGGATATTGCCTTAAACAAGAATTAGATTTATACCAATATTTTATTTCAAATGGCTTAGGCATTCCTATGAAAACTAAAATCATACACTAGACAGTTTCCCATTGTACTATTTAATAGTAATAGTTCCTGGTTGATGCTATTCAATTTAAACTTTGATTTCTCTAATCCTGCTCAAATTAAGAGAGAAAATTGCCAAGGCATTAACCTTAATGAATGGTTAAATTATCAGGAAGGCACTTTCTTTAAAGGCATATGGAACCACTGATTATACTCGTCAAACAATCATTGACTTAAAAATATTTACCTCTAGACATGATTAAATATATGCCAATTATCCATGGAACCTTGTAAGAGTAACCATACAGAGTCCTCTGGTTTGGTTTATGGAAACAACAGATACAAAATGTTAAAATGTTTTACAACATTGATGCGTTATTATTTTCCCCAAACCCTCTAACTCAGAAGAAAAACAGCAGTTATCACATCAAAAGAAACTCACAGAAGGTATGCTTGATTTTTCTTTTCAGGAAGCTGGTGCTGTTTGTTTCCCTTTTTTTCTATGGCATCTATGCCTAACTCTCTTTTCTGGGAGGGACTAAAACGTGGTAAAAGCCTGAACCACAAACATAATTTTTAAAATAACAAGAACACAATAGAGTAATACTACTACTCACCTTGGAGGTACTCTCCAAATCAACCAATGAGATTGATGCCCCTTTCTCTCAAGATAACAATATCAGAGATAAAAGCAGCTTAGAGACCAAGTGGTCCTATCCTCTCATTTGACAGATAAGGAAAGAGTAGGGTGATTTGAATAAGACCATCCATTGAACTAGTGGCAGAACAGAAACTTGGAATCAAGGTTTCCTAGTTCCTGGGCCCACTGCCGTTTGTATTATATTTTCTATTATAATTCTGTTATAGACTTGGAACAGTGGTTTACAACCAAGGTTGTATGAAAATGACTTGGCAAGCTTTCACAATATACAGATGCTGGCCCATCCCTGGTTCAACATGTCTAGGGGCAGGTCCCAGAAATCTCCATTTCAAGACTCTCCAGCACGATTTTGATGTGCAGTCGGTGTTGAAAATCACTGTGGCTTAGATCAAGAACGTGATCTCCTCTGGCACCATGGCGAGGCACTAGATCCACAGCACCCTATAGTGGATTTTCCGCTTTCATCTGCCTCTTTTAAATTTGCCAAGGAATGTCTATCATCTCAAGTGTAACTATGCAAGCAAGGCCTTTTAACGTTTGTATTATTTTTTCCTTTTCTCTGATCACTTCAAACTCAGATATAGGTTGCCTATCATTCAGACCTCCAGGCTTGGGGCAAAATTACTGGATTTCCACCACCTTTATGGAAGAGGAAGTATCAGTATCCCTTTTCTGGAGGATAGTCAACTGTTCATCACTGGGAAGAAGAGAGATGAGAACAAAGATCTATGGAAATGAACTCTAGCAGCTTCTCCTTGATTAGGTACCAAAGTAAATCCAGGAATCCATTGTAAATGTACTGCCTTTCAGAATCAACCAATAGCTGCATTATACAATTGCTGCAAAACAAATTAACTGATACCAAACTAGTTAAAAGGAGAGGGGTTAGATCCTTTCTGTTGAGATAGCAAATTAGGCTTAACAAGATTTAAAGTAAAGTTCAGGATCAAGAATACAAAATCAAACTGTCCAACCAAGTAGAGCTGCCCCTCCCTAGGCACTAGAGTTGAGTTCCTGAAACCCTCATTGTAGGGGAATTTGTGTTGGAGGAATTTGTTAGCTTTGGGGGAAAACTGGAGCAGGGAAGGGACTATTGTGAAAGCCCAGACAACTGGTTTGTTCACTGAAATAAAACACTAAGCAATGTGAATCTTGATGGCATTTTACTAGCATTACATTAGCAATAGTGATTACTGGGCAATTGATTTCTCTTTCTCTCTGATCTCAAGGTGAGGACAATCATGCATCAATGAAAATGTCGGTCATCACTACAGTGATAGAGAAAGAATTGAGAAAGTTGGATTTTGTCTGGAGACAAGTAAGGTCAGTCTTCTGCTCCACTTTCATCCTCCAGCATATGGATCACCACATCATCAGAGCTGTCGAACTCTGAATCCCAAGGTTCAACTATCTGTATGCAGCCTTTCTGCCTGCTTGTGCGAAATGGGTTTGAACGACACACGGCCCGATGGTCCAGCCTCTTTTCCCCTGTTGAAGCAAGCAGAGAGAAAAGACTTATTGGCCTTGTTTGAAGGATTCTTCTTACTGCTTTATAGAGTTGGAGGTAATCATTTAAGCCTTGCCTGAAGGTCAATAAATATTCCACCAAAGGATCTCTTTCCTCTGAATCATCACGGCAATTTGATTTGCAGAGTGAGTGCTTCAACATTCTTCGAGTTCTGGATGTTAACCTCTGCTGACCTCTTTTATCAACTTTTGCTGTGATCACATCTCTGAAGTATTTCTCAACTATCTGCTGAGGGTGAGAATCTAACAGTTCAGCAATGTCATTTAATTTAATGTCTTCAAATCCTCCACCACTCAAACATTTTGCGAATGCTACAACATTTTCAATTTCTTCTACTACTGGAAGGAAACTTCTAGAATTAGTTACAACCTCATTCCAAAGTTTCTGCCAGCCTCCATTAAGGGTTGATTGTTTTATTTCTCTCACTGATTCTTCTACTATCGTTAAAGTGTTACAAATGGAGAAATTTTGCCAAGCTACTTTCACCATAATTTCTGGTGTCTCCTTCATAAAATCTGCAAGGTAGTCAAAAATACTCCGAGTATAGTACATCATGAACATTTTTGGCACTCTCAGATGCATGAGTTGAAGGAGAGGATTTGTACTGGGGGGAATGGAGATGACCTTAACACAAGGATTGGCGTTTACTATCACACTTTTGTCAGTGAGAGTAGTATTCAGAATCTGCAACACTTTGAATTGAAGATTTTTTTGGTTTAAATATTGTTTAACCTCAGAAATAAAACACTTTAAAAACCAGTCCAAAAAGTGTTTCTCAGTGATCCATATTTTATGGTTTCCCTTCATATAAACAGAAAAGTGTTTCTGGCATTCTCTTTTCAGAGGGCAAGAATTTTGGAATCTGTGAAGCAACATAGATTTAATCAGAAAGTCACCAGAAACATTGGAACAAAGTAGAATTTTGAGCTTGTCTTTTCCAGGCTTGAAGCCTCTGGTCTTTTTCTCATCCTTTGCAATAGATGTGCAAGTAGGCATGTGCTTCCAGAACAGGACTGTTTCATCAGCCTTAAAGACCTCTTCAGGCAGGTGGCCATTTCCCTCCATCAGTTTCTTCAGGTATTCAGGATACTCTGCAGCAGCTTCACAATCTGCTTCCTCTGCCAGCCACTCCTTTTCATACAGACCACAGCACTTTTGAAACCTATCCAACCACCTATTACTTGCAATGAACATTATAACTTTTCATCCAGATTGAAATTTAAACTTGCATTTTTGTGATGCTCGCTGGTGGATTATACATACAGAGAGAGGCTATTCAGCCTTCTCTGTTTTAGAAGCCACACATGCAAATGTTTTTCCATTTTCTCTATTTGGCATTTCAAGTTATGTATGATTTTCTCAGTGATTCTGGTGTGCCCCTTGATGCACTGGCCCTAATAGCTCTCTCATTTTTCTCTACTGTATGAATTGTAGATTCATTAAAACCAAAAAAACACCCTACAGAGGTCTTGGTTTCACCATTATCAAGCATTTCAAGAACTCTCATTTTGTTTGCTATAGACAACACCTTTCTTGTCCTCTTCACTCTTCTTGCAATTCTATCATTCCACCTTCTTGCTTTTTTGCTTGGATGCCATTCTTACCCAAACTTACACAAATTTGCAATTATTGACATTTTTATATCACTGAGCGAGCGGTACACAACACTAATTTGTAATATATAAGAAGCAAATGACAACATCCACATGACAAATAAAAAGGGCAAAACACTGTTTGTATGATTATATATGTGTGTGATCGATGGCTGCAGAGGGAACAACAGGCAGAAGAATAAGAGTAGAAGCAAGCAACCCAAATGTCGGTCTTGTCACATGAGATAGTCAGCAAGACAACACGATGGTGACTTGAACTTGCATATTGTTCCAAAACTCTCAAAGGTGCAGACTAGGTAAACTCAAATTTTGTATGAGAATGACTTGCAGTTGTGAAGGGATCATGGAAGTCAGGAGTCAAGGTCAGGCTACCAGGATGAGGCGAGAAGCATAATTATCACCATCTAGGAGAAAGCAGACAAAAAAAATCGGTAATGAAGTCAGGAACGGAGGCAGTCTGCATTAAGTAGTGAGGAGAGCAGAAATTTGGAATAATTGTAATATACGCCAGATTGACTTACAAAGGCTGTACCAATTTGCATGCTCACTGACAGTGGATGAGAGTTCTTCCCCCCATATGTTCTCCAACACAAAATATTATCAACCTTCGTAATTTGTGCCAAGCAGAAGGTGAATAACAAGGTATCTCATTTTAGTTTTAATTTTCAATTCTTTAATCATCTTTCCACATGGTAAGCTGTTTTTATTTCTTCATCTTTTCATCTTTAAACTGTCTGTTCATATCCTCTGCACCCTTTTAAATTTTTTCCTTAATGATTTGTAGGCACTATTAGCATATTAGGGAACTCTTATTTTTCATTCTATTTTGAAAACATTTTCTCCAAGCCTATCATTCACTTCTTAATTTTATTTACTTTGTCTTTTGCCATAAAGATGTTTAAAATATTTATGTAGTCAAATGTTTCATGCCTTTCTTTGAAATGCCTTCCCCTCCCTAAGATGATAAAAATACATTGACATATTTTCTTTCAGAATTTTTATAGTTCTGTAGCATTCTTTCAAGGTATTGAGGAAAAGATAAACTACTCAACAAATGGTGTTGGAATAATTGACTATCCATCTACAAGAGTGTCTGCAGACCTCTCACAATGTATTTCCCATCTGTGCTAGAGCCACAGGGGTTCTGGTAGAGTTAGAGCCACCTGACGACCAAGTTGAGGGCTCAGGTTGAGTCCAGTTGATCACTCAATTTCTCCAGAGGTCAATATAGCTTGGGGAAAGGAGTGTCCAAATGAATAAATAATTACTATACATTTGCTGGCCTAAGTTCTGTTCTGCTGCCAATCTATACTCCTGACTTATATCAACTGAGTGACAGTACCAAGTTCTTAGATCTCTGATCTTCTCATAATGGCTTCACTAATAATTAATAAATAGTGACTCAGTTTTGGCACAACAGGAGAAATTTGAATATGAGTTGGCTTTTAGATGAGATTAGGTGATTACTATTGATTCTATTAGGTATAATAATGGAACTATGGTAATATAGGCAAATATTCACTTTTTGAGGGGAGAACCGAAGAAAATACATGTTACATAATCAGTAATTTATCTGAGGGAAAAAGGTTAACAGTTGTTAAATCCAGGTGGCTGGTAGGTGGGCCTTTATTGCACTATTCTTTCTACTTCTCTGTAGGTTTGAACATTCTCATAATAAAATGTGTGTATGTGTGCACATGTGTGTATGAAGTAATCTCATGTTTCACAGCTACATTTTAGGCACTATCACATATGTGTCAGTAGCTTTTTGGCTTACATACAAGATGAAGAGTTACAACTAAAGAACAACTGATCATTGGAGGGAAATCACTTTAAAAGAAATATTTTCCCCACTTTTAAGTCAATACATTAAATACTAAGGCATTAAGAAGCCTGAACCCTGATATCAATTTAAAGGTAAGAGACTCAATTTCCAAGTGTTCCTTTTTCTCTACCAAATCTGAACAGAAGATTTATAGCAATTTTACCTAAAACGAGATTATTTGAACCTAGGGACAGTTCAACTTCATAATACTAATAGCACCGTTTTCTATACCACACAAGAGATGGAGATTTATGAAAGGAAATAAGGAACAAGCAAGAGCATAAAAACGGATAACCCTGGGTAGGGAGAATGACTACTATATGTTTAAGTAAATCACTGGGTGAAACTTCATTCAACCAACATTCAAATGATAGTATATACTTCTACCCATAAAATTCATTTTGGGTCAGTTTCACCCTGTGTTCTCTGATCTTGCTAAGGATATGTCCCTTGTGTAAGATGCTTGAGCCAAGTTAATATGAAGAATAAAGCCTCTGAAAGAAACTTCCTGTGTGACCTTTCAGTTCTGCAAACTATATAAAGACCTGAAGCTGTTAGAGCACTAAGAAATACTAGTATAATCAAGTGAATCTCTCCTCAAGGTATTTTTCCAAAGTATATTTATCTACAGGCTTGAGAGTGTAACATCGTTCTTCTAGTGCTTGTGGGTCCAAGAATGCCTGGCATCCTCTGTAAGGAGAAATAAAGCCTAGCTGATTGAGCTTGGTAGTCCTGGTGGAGTTCACACTGCTCAGGTGCCCAAAAGGCAGGAGGATCTCAGGATGTTTGTTCTGTCAGCATTTCGATGGAGAAGAACAAGAAATTTTTAAAAATGCAACACCCTGTGAGGATTTGTACAGACAAACAAGATTGAGCTCATTGCAGCTTCTGCTATGAGAGGACATTTGGTCTTAAGAGGTTTGCTGCTGTGCAGGCTGTGCAGAGCTATCATCTTCCCCCTTCAAAAATCTCAAAACACACGCACTCATGTGGTGAGCTCAAAGAGTACAGACCATCAGAATCATTTAATGTTTTAAAGTACAATAACCGTAAATGGTAAGCAATGGTGAGGTTTCCGTGAGAAATCTTATTTTTTCAAAATTTATAAACTACCCACAACACATTTACTAATAAGATAAACAAAGATGTCATTCAACTGACCTTTGAGAGCAAAGAGCAATAATAGAGCATCTCAAAAGTAAATCTTCATGATCAAAGATTTCAGACATTTATTCATTCTCCTCAATCAACGCATGCTGACAAAGAGCTTACCATGTACGAGGCCATGTGATATGAGGAATAAAGAAACGAACTAAGAAAAAACCTTGATCTCAAGAAACTTAGTCTTCAAGGAAGATAAATATCACACAATATAAGATAGAAAGCCACATATTCCATAAGAGTCGCAAACGTGTTATGGGGGCCTAATCTGCCCCTCTGTCCATCCCTACTTTATCTACTCTGACTGCTTCAGGCCCTTCTCATTCCTGATCTGAAGAATGTGCTAAGTCATCTGCCTACCACTCTGCCTCCAGAGCAACCTTTCTAATATTGGGGTCTAATCCCTTACTTCCTCTGATCTCAATCACTCCCGTGAGACCCCATGGCTTACTGAATAAAGTCCAACTTCCTTCTGTATGAAGGCACCTGCCTATTTCCCCAGTCTTATCCTTAAATACCTCTTCTTTTCCTCCTCTGTAATCTACATGTCGGCCAGGTAAGGAGCTATTTCAAACATCCAGATTCCTTAACCTTCAACACTAGTTCAAGTACCACCTCTTCCAGGAAGCTTTTCTTGCTCCCTCTGGCTGGCTTCGAAGCACGAGCTGGCTCTGAAGCACTGATCCGAGCTCTCAGAGTCTCCCTCCCATTCTTACTCTGATTACAGCATTTATGATATTTCACTGCAGTGCCATCTGTTTCCCTGTGTTTTAAGCATTTATGATAGCCTTGACGGTATCTGGAACAAAATAGGTCCTCATTTTATTGCACAAATGCTTATGGTAAAGAGAGTAAGAAGGGCATGCAAGACTCACAAAAGGGTCAGCATTTGAATCGGACCATGAAGAACGGGTAGGATTTGCAGTGTGTGAGAAGGAGGAGAGCAAGTAGGGGGTGAGAGGTGGCAAAGGCCAAGGCAGGACAATCCTGGGTAATGGGGAGATTCGATTAGATGAGGCTGAAACACAGCGTGGCTGAAGAGGAGAGTAAAAAACAAGATTGGAAAAGTCTTTTGAGGTAAATCATGGAGGTCCTCAGATGCCAGATTTCTTTGGTGAGAGGGAGTTACGTTTAACCGTCTTAATATTAATGAAAGGGTTTATGTTTGCAATGAATAAAAAAGCAGACGTTTAGGATAAATCAGACCTATTCTTCCTTGTTACTAGGTCTCGGCATATACATTCCTAGGAGAAAAGTCCTAACTACTTGTGTCCTAAATAATTTAGGGATATCATGCTGATGTTTATTATCACATTGCTATTTGTTCTTGCTATTTTAATCTTTGACAACAAAAACAGTTATGAAACATCTTCACTTTCCTTCTATGGTTCGATGGGTCATTAATTAACTAAACATCCATAAGTTCTTAATAATAATCTATTTTTCATATTAAAATTTCATGGAAAATCTTGCATATTTCTTACTGGATCCGAGTATTTTTTAAAGCTCTGAAAATTCTCCCCCAAAAGAAGTCAAAATGGATTCTATGTAGCAACAGTGCCCTCCGCTGGCTACAGCGTGGAACAGCTAAACCCGGGCCGAGAAGGAACGCAAAAGCCAAGGCGGTCCGTGGTGAGTCAGGCCTGACAAGGCCCGCAATGTCCACGCTTCCTCAATTTCTTCCCTTTTCATGTTAAGCAGAATGTTGATTCACTAGCTCCTCAAGGTAAGCAAACTCGTCTTAGCAGGTCAGGAATTGGTCAAGTGCTCGGACAAATTCCCTTTTTCCCCTCATCTTTTAGGGGGGCTGGCCACACCCAAAGCTTCTAAAGATTTTTTTCCTTTAAGAAAAGGCACATAAATTTGAACAATAGTTTCCTGATCTCCTCCTCCATTTGCTCTTCCTCTTTACCTCATTTTCACTGGCCTGTGTAAGAGAAAAAGAAGCACTTTAAGAAATCCTGCAATCACAGACCTAGTGGCTTGCCATGTCCCAACCTGAAATATAACCGTGCTATCTCTTAAGCCTGGGCTAGATGTGACATTGGTCCCCTCCCTTAACCATAAGGGCCGCAAACAATACACGATCAGCATAAAATAGTTTCAGGGGATAATGACAATTGAAAGCCATTAGCCAGTGCCCAGCATAGTGTCTGGTCACCTGCTGGCAGAGTTAAATGGGGTATGATAGAGGGAAATGCGCTGTAAATTATGGGGTGTGAGCCTCATTACAAGGTGCTTGTATCATTGCAAATTCGGACTGAACTGCAATACCAAGAAACGCTCAGAGCAGGCTAGAGAGGAACAAGGTGTCCCTAAGCACAGAGACATCTTTTTTCCTGCAAAATCATTTCAAAAGCCCTTCTCTGCTACTTGTGGTTCCTTTAAAACTTTTATATTCAATCCAATTCTGAATGGGTTCCTAAACCCTAATTAAGGGGCCACAGCTTCCTCCGGTGCCTTACTTCTGCGGGGTTTTTGTGGTTCCAATGCTGAGCTTTGCAACCTGGAGCGCTTGCATAAGCTCTCACCTTCGGTCTCCTCCAAACTCCATACAGCCTGCACGGCCTAGGTTATCAAGCACCGGGCTGCGCTCCTTGAGGCACAAGATGGGGAAGCAGCAGTCCCTCCTCCCTTCGGCACAGGCAGGGAGGCATATACACAATGAAGAGCAAATAACAGATACTACAGAGGTCCAGGACTTGGGACCATGGAGAGAGGAAGGAATCACTACAGAGATGATTTGCAAAGCCTGGGATTAGGGTGAGGTGAGCGTGGCCAAGTCGCGCAAAATCAGGGTCGGATCACGTCTTTATTTAAAATATTCATATTTTGTCTATCACGGAACTTTTTGCATTAACTTTGAATTTTAAAGATATTACATTACAATTTTTATTTTAATTACTGAATGTCTTGGTGCCCCCTTAAATTGTGCGCCCGTGGCTACTGCCTCCCTCGATTTGCCCTTATCCCGTCTCTGGGGATTTGAATGAGGGCAGTAAGTGATGGATATGATTTTGCATCTAGAAAAGGGGTAAAAGGCAGCCCGGAGATGGCGCCTAGGAGCCGAAGCATGGGCGGCTGCAGGATTGGGAGGAAGAGGCCGAAGAGGTGCTCGGGGCTGGCTGGCTGGCTGGCTGGGAGGCGACGATGCTCCGCTCCGGTAATTTGCGCAGCCCCGGAGGGGAGTCAGCTCGGTTAAAGCGGAATACGGAAAGGACATCTGCTTACCTGGTTCTGACTGCTCCCGACCCGCAATCTCTTCTGACCGCCAAGGCAGGATCTGCTCCTCTCTGGGGACAATGCATCTCGTCTTTGCAGCGCGCCCACTCTGAAGCGGTGCCTCTCAGGGCAGCCTTTATCAACCGGCTGCTCTTGGAAAAGACCTGCCCCCACAAGGGCCTCTCCAGCGTCCGCCCGCCACACCCGTTGCTAGCGGAGGTCCACTCCCTCCGCGCAGGGCGGGCTGGACCGTCCCCCGCAGGGATGGGAGGACTGTGTGCTGTCACTTCCCACCTGGTCACTGTGTGTCAGGACACTTAGTCAGTTACACCGCTCAACAACCTCCCCACTGCGCCCCCGCCCCACTCCATCCCAGCAGCGGCAGCCGAGAGGCACTCTCCATTAACTATCTCAGGGCCAAAGAGTTAAGAGACTTCGCAAGCGTCTGTTTGTTATTCCATAGCGGTAACAGTCGCTGATCGGCCTGATGGCTTGGGCAGGCGGAAAATCTTAAAGCTGGAAGGAACCTTAGATTTGGGTGGGATTTAGCATTCGATGTCTTTCGTGAAAACTCACCAAGAAAATTAAATATGCATTAACATTTAGTACCAGTAGTGCATCCTAACAAGTACACACACAAAGAAATCCCGCCAAAGCACACTCCACCAATCGCTGCCTGTGCACACTTGAAGTCTCCATTACAAGGCATGAAAAAGTGCTCGGAGAAGGGTGGGCTTTCTGGTGGGAACTGGCCTGAGGTAAGCCCAGCCCCTGAGAACACCAGCCTTAGGGGAGTGGATTTGTTGTTCTCACCCAACCCCTTTGTAAGACCTCAAATTTCGCCGAACTTCTTTGCAAATGCCTGTCCACAGGTTACTTTGGGTTCGTTACAAAGCAATTAAAACGGCTTGTCCAAGTGCTCAGAATGCTAAACAAAATCCCGAAAAGTGGATGCGAAACGTGGCTGTTTATTGCCACACGGTTATTTGAATGTGTTAAAGTGCACTGAAAGCAACCAGCGGAGTGGAGACATATTTCCGCCAAGTCTCTAAAGACATAGCTGGCTTCAGGAGTCCTGTCTTCAGATCTTTGGTTATTTTTACGGCCTTGGTAAATGAGTAATGGGCAAAGTTCCTAAGTACAAGAACCAATGCCAAATTTAGCAAATAAAAACACAGGTCACAGGGTTAAAATTGAATCTCAGATAAACAACAAATAATTTTTTAGTAGAAGTATGTTCTATGCAATATATGGGACACACTTATACTTTTAACATATTCATTTAACTGAAATTCAGTTTTAACCGGGTGTCCTGTTTTTTCTGGCAACTCTAACAACAATGCAACCACTGCTTGAACTCTTTTGTTTATAGTCTAACAAACAAGACATAGTCAATATTGAGAAGTAGGCAAAAAACGTCACAAGGATTCTTAGTAATTCACACACTCAAAAAATGATAGCCACATTGAAATATTATGAAAGCATTAAAAATGTATTTATATTAATTGAGGAGATTGTCAATCTGGCTATTAAGGGTATTAATCCAAGGATCTGAAAGCTCCTCCCTGGGGGTAAATCAGGTCTGTGGCCATTGTTTGTATGGTTTCTGAGCTAAGAATGGTTTTTACATTTTTAAATGGTTGCAAAGAATCAAAAGAAGAATAATATTTTGTGGCAAGTGAAAGTTATATAAATTTCAAATTTCAGTATCCATAAATAAAATTTTATTGTAACCCAGCCATGCCCACTCATTTTCGTATTCTCTCAGGCCTTTCTTATTCTTTTCAGCCTACAACGGCAAAGATGAGGCATTGCATAAGAGATGGATCAACCTGCAAAGCCGGAAATATTTACTCTCTGGCTCTTTACAGAAGCAGTTTGTTGACCCCTGATATAAATGAAACTATTACCTATAAAGTGGGGTTATAAATAATCATTAAGTCTGTTAACTATAACTCTGAGTGGGCCAAATATTTTCATTATTTGCGGAAAGTATTTGCTGCTTAGCTGTCCTTTTTCTCATAGTCAAAAGACTATGTTTTCATAGACACAGAATTTTGGTAAATTGCAAACCAATGGCATTTGAATGAGATTTGTTTTAACAATACGGGCTGTCTCTGCTTTCGAGCTTTCTAATTCACCTTTTGTCCATTGCTGCACCGCCTCACAAACCAAAGTTTTACTGTGGTTTTTAGATTGCTAAGCCGGTCAGCATTTTATCAAGTGGCTCGCCTGCCATCTAGTGGGGAAATATATAAGTGCATTATTTCTTATTTATGTATTTAGACAAACTGAGTAGCTAGCTGTAAGCTGTAGGACCTTGGACGGTGATGATAATACTAGTAATTCCTCACATTTGAATAGCACTTTGCCATTTACAAAGCTTCTCCCCATTTAGTATTTTAATTAGTCTTCCCTCAGGACAACACTGTGCTATAAGCAGATTTCCTTTGCCCTATTTTTCAGATTAAGAAACTGAGTCTGAACATTGGCTTATTCAAGGTCCTAAACCCAAGCGCCATGTTCTGTCCACTGAACCTCACCCCTCTGAACTGAGGTTCCCTCGTGTCTACATTTCCAGCTCTACTCTATGAATGATTGTGAAAGTATTTGCCACAATAACTTTTATTTTAGGAAACTTCCATGGATAGTCTTTTTAAACAAATATGAGCCATCCAAAACATCCCTTCTCAAGAAAAAAAGTTCTAAGGAGACAAACACAATTTTTTTCTAGGTAAATGTTTAATTAATGTTTCTCCAAAACAGGGTATGAGTTAAGATCCATTTTCTGATGGAAGGTGCATAAATCGGGCAGAAGACACTTAAGGCCTAATCCTTGGAGGACTGCGTGATTACTGGCAGAGTACCTGCAACTGGCACCTTTAAATCCTTTTTGATTAAGACATGTAATAATTTTTCCAGTGCAATACAATTCACTTACTTTTAGACCTACAAAATTATGTTTGCATAGAGCTTAGAGAGTACAAGACACAGAGGTCTGAAAAAGAGATCCATTTTAATTGCCCTGTGTCTCAGGAACTTCCAGGGGCTTGGTGTGAATCTGCAAAGGGAACACTGAGCCCGCTGTGCTAAAGCTCATTTGAGAAGAGAGATTTGTGGGCTCTTCTAGTACTTACTAAGGTGCCTCTGTCTTGTAACAGCAGCCTGAGCCCTTAGTGATGACCAAGAACCAGATTAAATGAACCAAAGGTTAGAGCAACCCATCAGAAAGAGTCACATTTACAATGACATCCATCTGCTGAATCTACAGTTGGGCACACAGTGGGAATACGCTAAATCATGGGCCACCTGCTGAACGCAGCTGTACTTGTTGAGTGTGTCCAAAAATGCCCCAAGTGTCGACTTGAGGAAGAACAGTTCCCACAGCTTTGCAGATCATGGTTCTCAGGCTGTGCCTGTTTCTTGTGAACACGCCCCCAGTGGCAACACTTTAGTATTACTTTCAAATAGTCACACTTTCATATTAAAATTTCAGCTTGAGGCATGGGTGTGAAAACCAAAGCACCTGGGACATGCGAATTAAATTCTTTTCTTGCTAGACTTTCAGCACAGCCTTAAGTTTAGCCACAGGTGATCCATACTGTTTGCAAGCTTTGTTGATGATGTGATTTGTATCACAGATGGAGGAGCTCTCTGAAACTCTCTAGCTTGGACATGACCCTGGACCTGTTTTATTGGTTGCCCCCATTGTCTTGCCAGCCAACATTCTGGTTGGGCCATTTCTAGCTGCTGAGGCCTTGCTATTTATGCAGCTAGTACATGGCTCAACTTAGTTCTACCTCAACAATTATGCAAAGAGGATAATATTGATCATTTTCTTTCCACCTAGATTTTATTGAGGTAACATTGGCTCATAACATTATATAAATTTCAGGTGTACCTCATTGTATTTCGATTTCTGTGTAGACTATATCATGTTCACCACCCAAAGACTAATTTACCATCCATCACCAATCATTTTTAAATATGCCCTGAGGTTCACTACTAGTTTTCTCAAGCAGGTCAGATCATCCTAAGTATGTCCCTACAAGTTCGCAGCAAAAGAATTCCCTAAAGTTGCTACTATTTATGACACAACTATTATTGTTACTACTACTTATAGTAGCAGTACCACTGCTACTAATGACAACAACTGACGCATATAGTGTTCTCTCTTGCCAGGCACTCTTCTAGAAGCTTCATATACACAAACTAAACCAATCCTCCTGGACTTTACTTGTGGAGTACAGTATTATTGCCATCCCCATTTTACATATGTTAAAACCAAGACCAAGAGAGGCTAAGAGACTTGCTCAAGTTCACACAGCTAATGAATGGTGGGGCAATATTTGAACCCAAGCAGTCTGATTCCAGAGCCCTAGATTTTAATTAATATTGCCTCAATATCAAAGCACAGCCAGAAGAACAAAAGACACATTGCCTACTCAATGAAGTCCAATGACCCAGCTTGATGTTCACTACCTTCCATGATCTAGCAGTATCTTTATTTTCCTAACACTGTGCCACCACCCAGCCTGGTCCATTCTAGCCACTTCAAAGGACTTAGCAGTAACAAGCCATGCCTCTATTAGTGCTGTTCCTTCTGTATTATCCCCTTCCTCATCCCTTTCCCTGTTGAACTTCTACTCATCCTTTAAGGTCCAGCTCTAATTCGATCTCTTTGGTAAATACTTGCCTGAGGCCCCAGCTGATGGTAAACATTCACCCCTGAATCCTCCCTTACAGTCTTTCCTCTGAATTTCTCTTAAGACACTTACCACCTTTTACCAGGTACTGGAATTATTTATGTGCATGGTAGTCACATTCACTAGACTATAAACTCACTAAAGAAAACCCACCTCAACCTCTGCTTCAACCATGACTCTTTCCGTGGCGTCCCCAAAGATATTAACTCCTAGGCTCCCACAGCACTAGTTCTTACCATAATTGTCTATAACATTTAACCTTTCCCCAGGTTGTTGCTGTCATTAGTCTGGGTATCTGTCTTCCCCTAGAAGGTAAACTCCTTGAGGGCAGATAGTGTTTTATTTGTCTCCGTATCCTGAGCCTAGGATAGTCTGTTGTTCATGTGCTTGTTGAATGAATTAAGGAATGAATCAGTGGATGAAGCCTTTCCTGAATTCCCCCAACTAGAAGTAATCACTCCCTTCTCTAAACTCCAATAGCTCCTTGTTCTTCCTTGAGACATTTTTGGTTTTATCTTGTGTTAGAGTTATCCATAGACTGGTCTTAGCTCCTTGTTAGACTTAAGAACCTTAAAGTTGGAGCTATGCCTCAGGCATCTCCATGCTTCCATCACCTAGCAGAATTCCTGGTCCAGTAAATGGGCTCAATAAGTATTTTCTGAATGAATGATTCACCACAATGAATGTGGCCCCTTAATTATGGGCTCATAGGTGGTCCCCAAGAATAAATGAAAGAAAGCTGAGATGGGTAGAAATCAGCCATTCAGGCTAGGGTAAGCTGTATGTGATGGAAGGGCCATGGCACCTGTCACTCACTGACAGAGGTGAAAGAGGCAGAAATACTTTTCTGCTGAGGAAAACACCACATTCTAGCTGCAGCACTTCATAGCCAGGAACAATCTTATGGAACGAAGCTTTTCTTGGAGGAGTGGGGGATCTGATCAGGAGATCCATGGCACCATAAGCAAGCAGCCTTTGAACTCAGCACAATCGAGATGAGTGCCATAAGACCTGGCTTTGCTGGTTATTAAAATCAACAGGTAATACTCCCAGAAAAGCTATCGAACATAAGAGAAAGAAAAGCCAGCTCTTAAAGGCCTATGCACAGATTCACCCATTCCAGAAACCAACACAAAGTCACCAGAAATAAAGGTGCTTAGTCTTTTGGTAAAACAGATTCTGAGCACATCTCAGAGAAGCAGGAGGTGGCTGGGCCCACCTCCCCTGGGACTGAGACACTGGCAGCAGCATTTATTGTGACCTAGTACAGATGTGCTGACACAGACATTGGCAGACACCATTGGAATTCTTCCTCAGACCTGTTAGTGCAGGAGTTTGCCCCACCTACTAGAGTACAGATTTAATCCAGATCAGCCAGGGCAGGCAGCCCACCCTTGGGACTAGCCCCACCCACTAGCAAGCCCTCAGGAACTTGCGGATCCACATAGGTGGAGTGTGTGGGACCTCTGTAGTGGGACAAATGGGTCTGCCTTGGTGGGGTGGGGTGTGCGCATGGGGTAGGACTGTGTTGGTGGGGTATGTGGGCCCATGGGCAGTGGGGCATGTCAGCTGCAGTCAACTTGTGTTGCTGGCCATCTCAAACAGCCATACAGGGGATCTGCCCCACCTTATAACAATTGAAATGATTGTGTGCTGCCACACCAGGGCCTGCACCACTCAGCTGTGCTCCTGAGAGAGCTGACAGCAGCCTCATAGGCCAGAGGCCGACAGCAATTATGAGCCCCTGAGCCTAGCAACGAGGCATGCTGGGGGCCTGACTCACTTAACAGCAAAACAGCAACAGATGCCTGCTATTACACCTTGCAGCCAGCTGTGCTGGCGCTTGCTCTGCCCAATGAAGTGACTAAAGGGAATGTAGCAGCCACACGCAGCTGAGTCTTACAACCAGTTGGCCTGGGGGGCCAGCCTAGCCCACTTGTGTGCCCACAGCAAGAGCAACCCCACCACAACAGAAGGGCACATGTAGCTCACACAGGGAATATTTGGAACTGATGACAAGAGAGAAGCACACTGCTGGGCCCCATAAGGCATTTCTTATATAAGGCAACATCTCCAAGATGAGGAGACATAGCTGATCAACCTAATACATAGATATAAGCACAGAGAAAGAGGCAAAATGAGGAGACAAAGGAATATGTTCCAAATAAGGGAACAGGACAGATCCTCAGAAAAAGAACTAAATGAAAAAGAGATAAACAATCTACCTGATAAAGAGGACAAACTAATAGTCATAAGAATGCTCACTGATCTTGGGAGAAGAATAGATGAACACAGTCAGAAATTCAACAAAGAATATGAAAATATAAAAAAGAACCAATCAGAACTGAAGAATACAATAATGGAAATGAAAAATTCACCAGAGGGAATCAACAGCCGAGTAGATGACAAAAAAGAAAAGATCAGTGAGCTGGATGAAAGACTAGAAGAAATCCCCCAAGCTGAACAGAAAAAAGAAAAAACAATTAAGAAGAATGAAGACAGTCTAAGGGACTGTGGAACATCAAGTGCATGAACATCTATATTATAGGTGTCCCAAAAGGAGTAGAGACAGACAAAGAGACAGAGAACCTATCTGAATAAATAATAGCTGAAAACTTTCCTAACCTAAGGAAGGAAACAGACATCCAGGCACAGGAAGCACAAAGAATACCAAACAAGATGAACCCGAAGAAGCACACCAAGACACATTATAAATAAAATGTCAAGAATTAAAGATAAAAAGAGAATCCTAAAAGCTGCAAGAGTAAGACAACAAGTTACATACAAAGGAAACCCCATAAGGCTATCAGCTCACTTCTCAGCAGAAACGTTACAGGCTAGAAGGGAGTGGCATGATATATTCAAAGTGCTGAAAGGAGAAAACCTACAGCCAAGAATACTCTACCCAGCGAGGTTATCATTTTCAATGGAAGGAGAGATAGTGTTGTCCAGACAAGCAAAATCTACAGGAGTTTATCACCAATAAACCAATCTTACAAGAAATGTCAAAGGGACTTATTTAAGTGGAAAAGAAAAGACCACAAATAAGAATAAGAAAACCATCCAAGAAAAAACAATCACTGGTAAAGGCAAATAGAAAGTAAAGGTAGCAGATCAACCATCTATAAAGCTAATATGAGATTAAAAGACAAAAGTACTAAAATTATCTATTTCCATGATAAGAGATTAAGGGATACACACACACACACACACACAAGAGGTTAAATATGATATCAAAAACATAAAATGTGGAGGAGGGGGAGTAAAAGTATAGGGCTTTTAGTAAGAGGTCAAACTTAAGAGACAATCAACTTAATATAGATTGCTATTTACATAGGTTATTATATATGGAATCTCAGGGTAATCACAAGCCAGAAATGTAAAATAAATACACAAAAAATTAAGAGAAAGGAACCCAAACATAATTTTAAATAAGCCATCAAGAGCCAGCCCTGATGGTCTAGTGGTTAAAGTTCTGCACACTCTACTTCAGCAGCCCAGGTTCGGTTCCTGAGCACAGAACCACACCACTCATCTGTCAGTAGCCATGTGGTGGTGGTGGCTCATGTAGAAAACCCAGAAGGGCTTAAAACTATAACAGACAACTATGTACTGGGGCTATAGGAAGGGGAAAAAAAAGAGGAAGATGGGCAAAAGATGATAGTTCAGGGTTAATCTTTCCCAGCAAAAGAAAAAAAAAGAAAGCCATCAAATCACAAGGGAAGAGAGGAAGAGAAGAAAGGAACAGAGAAGAACTGCTAAAACACCCAGAAAAAGGTAACAAAATGGGAAAAAGTACATACTTATCAATAGCTATCTATATGTCAATGGACTAAATGCTCCAATCAGAAGACATCAGGTGGCTAAATGGATAAAATAATAAGACCCATATATACGTGTGCATACAAGAGACACAGTTCAGACCTAAAGACACTCAAAGACAGAAAGTGAAGGGATTGAAAAATATATTCCACGCAACGGCAATGAAAAGAAAGCTGGCGTAGCAATACTTATATGGACAAAATAGACTTTAAAACAAAAACTGTAACGAGAGACAAAGAAGGGCACTACTTAATGATAAAGGGAACAATCCAACAAGAAGATATAACCCTTGTAAATATCTATGCACCCAACATAGAAGCACCTGAATATATAAAGCAATTATTAACAGACATAAAGGAGAAATAGACAGT